AGATCTCCTTTTTGTGGTGGTGGTTCGGCGATGTTATTCTTGTTTTCTTAGGAGACAATTACCCTAGATTCCCCAATTACAAGTGACCATGACCTCTGGTCCTGTTCTCTAATGAATGGCAACGTCAGATTTATGTTTATAAAGCTCAGCGACCCAAGACCTTGATACTTAAAGAATCAATAACTGTGACCCCTGTTTCTCTAGGTGTTAGTAATTCGCATCCTAAACTCCAAAATGATGTTAACTCCAAACCCTTTTTCAGGGAAGGAGAGAGCTCGATCCAGTTTTGGGTAGGGACAGTGACCTCGAGCACATGAAAGGAACAAATCGATGTTTGAGGACCTTGGAAACCCAGATCACCACCCCGACCGGGCACCCCTCATACTCACGGCCCAGCTTCACTCCGGGCGGCGGGAAGCTAGTGCCCGCGCCGGGCCCGCCGCTGCCGCCTCCGCCGCTGCCGGTGGGACCACCCCCGGAACTCGAGGCTCCCACGCCCCCACCCATGGCCCCGACAGACGCCTTCCCGCCGCCGGTGCCGCCTGGGCCAGAGGCCGAGCCCCCAGGGCCGCCGCCGCCGCCTCCGCCTCCACCGCCTGGCTCCGCGAACGAGCTGGTCCGCGCCCGGCCCGAGCCCCCAGGGCCGCCTCCCGAAGGCCCGCCGCCGCTCATGGCGCCGAGCGCAGGCCCAGGCCACGGGGCTCGGGCTGCCTGGGCTGCACCCGCCGCAGCCGCTGCCGCCGCCTCCTCCTCCCCCGAGCTACGGCCTCTTCCAGGCCGCGCCGCTCGGGCTCCGGCTCCGGCCCAGAGCCCGCCGCGGGGCACGCCGGGAGATGCAGTCCGCCTGGCGTCGGCACCGCCCTCGGCCCGCACAGAGGCCCGCACGGCACGCCGGGAAATGGAGTCATCAAAGGCCTAAGCGCAGAGGACAGGGCTGACCGTTCGCGCAGTATGTCGGGAAATGGAGTCCTGGGTCATCTGTGACCCAACTGTGCCTAAAGTGAACCCCTGAGGCACTCTAGAAAACAGAGTCAAAGTCACACATTCACTTCTCTGCAACAACAGCAAGCTTTTAGGTGTGCCTCAGAAATGTAATCACAGCTGCTACATCCCTGAGCAGTGCAGGCTGCAGGCAGATGCATGCCGGGAAATAGAGTCCAAGGGCTCAATCTTTTGACTGTGTGACTCTTGATGCCAGATGCACTCTGGGAAATTGAGTCAGAGTCCTTAAAATCCCCAACTCTCGGGCCGTGAGGCAAACTGGGAAATGCAGTCGTGGCCACACCCTCGCCGCATTGCAGGTGTAAAGCGGTTACAAAGCACGCCGGGAAATGGAGTCCCGGGTGATACTTAAAACCCAAGTGTATAACTGCAGTTCCAGAAATAGGCCAGTAAATGGGAGTAGACATCGCTCTTCACCTACTCTATATTACTCAAAGCCACAATCCCTGCCGGGCAATATAGTCGACCCAAAGGCATCCACGTAGTTGCTACAGCAAGCCCTGATTTCTTCTGGGAAATGGAGTTCAAAGCCTTCTCCCCATTGACTGAGGAGGCGGGATCTGCCACCAGCCCAAAGCTTGCTGGGAATGGTCCAGAATGGATTTTGACCCTTTGTGAAACTATGCTCAGAGGATTGCTGGGAAGTGGAGTCCACTGGGTAGTTTTGGGGACGTGTGAGCGAAAGATTAGGGCCGGAGTTCCCTGGGTAGACAAGAAAGTGATTCCACGCCTCCTTCCTGGTCCTCTGGTCCAACGAATGAGCCCAATTCAATCAGTGAGTGCTGAGGAAAAACTTCAAGTACATTTAAATTGCAGGTAACCACCTATCAGAAAGAAAAAAAAAATGCCTTCTGCCTATCCCCGCGAAGGGTTTGAATAACAGTCTCCAGTGGTTTCTCGGAGTACTTGTCTTCGGATACAATCTAGCTTTTTCTAGTAATGTGGGTACACCAGGAAGCTACGACAAAGACAGAATTTCTGTTTTGAACCCTCATTCAGCTTTTTGGATACTTATGCTTCCTAAATTACATGATTCTGGAGGACCCTAAATAAGCCAGGTAACAAGAAGCAGCCTCAGGTTTGTGCGCGAACTGCGTCGCCCGGTTTATCAGTTAGCACCCGGAAGAACAGCAGCCCCAAAGGGCGCTGGGAAACAGAGTTCTGCGTCCTCCTCCAGCCCCACCCCGGCAGCGCACCGCCCCAAACGCTTGGAGCTGGAATAAAAGCGCTCTCGTGTTGCGCTGTCTTGAGAACGGTGGGAGATGGGAGCATTGGGACTTCATTTTAATCTGAATTTGTGTTCACACTAGTTGTCCTGCCCTTTCTGAAGCCTTTAAAAAGTCTTGTTTGATCGGCCTGCTCCTGTTGGCAATTTCCCGCGGACACAGAAACAGACGGTAATGTTAAATGCCTTTCAGCCTGTGTTCTCCAGGACGCAAAGCTCAACATACTTCCACTCCCTTGCAGACGCATCACGCACGCCTCGCAGCGGGTGTTTCTGGGACCTGTAGTTGCCCAGCCAATGGTAGCTGCTGCCCTCTGACGACACCTCTGAGTTAAAAAGTAAACTGAGTCAAATCCCAAGGCCTAGGGATTCACAGAAGGGCCTATAAGGTTCACAAGGGCGGCAGATCGGGGTGAAATACAGGCGGTTACTTAACCTCCATAACCCGTGGAATATAGCAAGAGGCCACGTAGACCAGCGCCTCAAGCAGATTGAGGTCCCTAGCAGTTTGATCCACAATCCTAAGCAAATTTTAATAAGGTTGTATGTAAGAGGTGAGAATATTTGTAGAGGAATGATAAGAAAGATTGTGAGTTTCCAAGAAGCCTCTAATGTCTGGAAGGACTGAAGGGAGTCTATAAAAGGTACAGGGCCATATGCATTTGGGAACAACATTGGGGATTGGTAGGGAAGTCCAAGCAGATTTACGATGTCTGTAAAAGGTCAATAGGATAAATTACTGGTGACTAAGGAGATCTCTGAGCAACCCGAGGGGGTGAGGGGTGGCTGAGAAGCATTAGGAAGGGGCTTTGTTGACCTGTGTAGGTGCTGAATTAATCTGTGAAAGACACCTTAAAGGGCTTTCTGCTTGGTAGCAAGGACTTCACAGGATATGAGCAGGACCAATGACATCTTCTAGCAGAAACATTTCAGGCTCGGAAACGGATTTAGGGAGGCAATTGAAGACTGGGGGAGTAGCTGGGGTTTTCAAGGCAACATGCCACTTGTGGCATCCCACACAGAATCTGGGGCCATAAATTTGGTGACACCATGGTCTGATCTGGAGAGTTCTGAAGCTGAGCATTTAGGAATGATAGTGATTAGAGGCGCTTGGAAGATGCTGGTGTCCAGCTAAGACTAACTGGGATCTTGCTTTCCTCCTGCCAGTGACATCGACTTTCCCCATCACCCCAGTATCAACTCAGCTGCATCTAAATTGCCAGGAACTATGCCTCATCCAGAAATAGCCTGGTGGCCCCCACCCCAGGGAATGACTTACATCACCCAGGAGAGGGAGCAGTTGCTCAAAGGCTGCCATGGGAGCCTGCTTCCTGCCAGTACAGTACTCCAGCCCTAAATCCTTCCTTCACTGCCAATTGACTGTGTCACCTAAGACCACCCACCCAGGGCTGGTGCAAGCTGAGATTTAAACTAGAGCGGGTAGCAGTTGCCAGTCAACCTTCCTTACCCCTCAGGGTTGCACAGGGTGGAGTTTCATCATGTAGGGAAGAATTTGACAGTTCCTGGGCCTTCAATTCCCACCCCATCTCCACAAACAGCTGAATGGCCTTGGGGTAACCCCTTCCCCTTTTTGGGCCTCAGGCACCGCATCTGCACTGCCTGGGTTGGTCCAGTTTCTTAAGGGCAATTCCAGCCTGCATTCTTCCTAGTTCTTTTGTCCCCAATTCCACCCTGCATCTGAGCTTCCAGGCAGTTCCTCTCTCAGATCATATGATCTTTGAGACCCTAATTTAAATCCAGCCATTTTGGCTTTAGGAAGGAAAAATTCAGGAGCCATTGAAAGGACCTGGATTTCAGAGACAAACCTCATTTAAAATCTTTGGCTCAGGTTTAGGGCATTAGGCATTTATTTAACTGCGTCCACTGCCCTTCCCTCTCGGATGCTGAAGGACCTAAAAGCACCACACCTCCTAACTTAGCACCTAGTATATCAGTCAATACCAGCTGTGATGAGCTAGATCCTTCTCAACTTGCTAGTTGGACTGAAAGGTCATTTATTAGGTCTACTTTTACTTTTGTTATTTTTGACAGTCTCACTATGCAGTTCCAATTGGCCTTGAGCTTGCTTTGTAACCCAGGGTAGTCTCAAACTCACAACTGTCTTAGCCTCCTGAGTGGGATTAGAGGAGCGTGCCACCATGCCTGGCTATAAGGTCTACATTTCAAGAGACACTGAAAACCTTGTTTCCAAAGGACTCCCAGTAATAGAATCCTAAATTGAGCTATGTGGGCAGGAAGCTAAAGCAAATGCAAAAAAAGGAGCTCCTAAGGAGGTCTTCACCGGAGACCTGGGGGTGTGGTTAGAAAAATCAAGGCTAGAGAAGGTAGGCATTTCAGGCAGTCAGAGCACCAATAACAATAGGATGATTAGTGAAGGGCCTAAAAAGATTCCAAGGACAAGCAGATCCCAACAAGAGAGAGAAGTACACCACCAGAGTGGGCCTTAGACCACCTTCAAGCTCTGGGATTTATGTGACACCTAAGTTTAGGAGGAAGATCATAGTACTGGGAATTAAACTCAGGGTCAGTGTACCAGCCCTTTTTATTCTGAGACAGGGCCTGTTACTTGGCTAACCCAAATTTTTGATACTGCCTCAGTCTCTAGAGTAGCTGGTGTTCTGCCCATTCAGGAGGTAGTTCCTAGCCACAAATCCACCAGAGGTGTGGCAGGCAGTCTAGTCCTGTCCTTCACTATTAAGCAAGGGCTATAGCCCTGCAGCAGCTGTACCCATCCCTAGTACACATCACCGCATGCAAAGGTCCAAAGTTTTATTATTTTGAATACATTCTCCAGCGTCCCCCTACTTCCCGACCCACCCTCCATACCCCATACAGAATAAGGCTTGACCACAGCCCCCCACCCCACCCCAGGGACCCCAGTTAGGAGGCAGAGAGGGCTTCCAGTTTGGTTTCAGGGCATCCCCTTCCCATTCCCCCCACCCACCTGCCCATGGGCCAATCCTAGGAGCAGCTGGGGGCGAAAGGGTAGATCGATGCTGGGGTGAGGAGTGGGAGAGGGAGAGCAGGCACTTGTACAGATTTGTGGCCCATGGTTGGCACCCCTCACCCTTCCCCCCCACACAAACACCCCCTACCACGAAATTTTTGGTTCATCGTAACATTGTCCTTCTCCTGCTGCAACCTTGTGGGGTATGAAAAACCCAGGCACTCATGGCCCCTGAAGGGGCAAGGAAGGCAGGGATGGGGTGAGGGTGGTTGGGGGACAGGTGGAGAAGAGGTACAAGAAGCAGAGAACAGGGAGGGAGACAAGGCTTTACTTCCTAAGAGATTGTAATAAAAAAGTTCCTGGGTGTTAAGGCCAAAGCCCCATTCAAATATAAATTCCCCAGATGGAGGTGGCCCCCTTAACTCCCCCCTCCCTCCCCCACCACCATTTTACCCCAAGCTTAGAAACCCAGAGACAGGGGACTGCTCCTAGCCCTGGGCACCCGCCCACCCCCATCATTAAAAACAAAAAACCAAAAAAAAAAAAAGTAAAGTTTTATACAAAATGTGGGGAGGGGAAAGGTAGGAGGCAGGGAAGAGACTAAAGAGCTGCCCTCACCTCCAGGGCTTTGGGGGGTTAAGGCAGCAAAAGAAGCATAGGGAGTGGGGGTAACCTGGGCCCCCTGACCACAGCCCTCAGGAATCTCGATGCTCCAGGGAGAGCTGGGCTGTGGCATGCTGGAGATCAGAGCTCACCCGCCTTGGGGTGAGGGGTCCCCCAGCCTCCCCAGGACCCTCCCCTCGAACCTTCTTGTCCTCGCCCTCATCCTCCAGGCCCCCAGTGGGGCCCCCACCCCCCTCCAGGCGACAGTCTTCACTCCAGCGCCGCTTAAAGCGCAGTTTGAGAGGCATACACTGGGCTGCCCCGGGCACCTCGCCAGGCTCCGGTTTGGGGGGTGCAGGCGGGGCACGAGGTGTCTTGAACACCTCTCCATCTTCCTCATCCTCGTCACTGATGTCAGTCACCTCCACTTCCTCGGATTCACCTTCTGAGATAGGCTCCACCTTGATCTGTGGTGGCGGTGGGGGTGGCGGTGGGGCCAGCACCCCTGCTCCCTCGGCCATTCCGCCCACCCCTGCGCTGCCACCGATGCTCTTGTCACCTCCTGGAGCCTTCTCTCCAGCTGCCCGCTGCCGGCGTCCTAGCGGGGGTGGCTGCAGCTTAAACTTGAATGGGGAAGAGGAGGAAGAGGAGGAGGACGAAGCCGAGGACTGGACTGGTGGGGTCTCAGGTGCCATGGGCGGCAGTGGGCACTTGTCTGGGCGCTGGGGCTGGGGCACCACTAGGCCAGGATAGTGCAGGAAGGCGCGAGGGCTGAGGTGGTAGTTGTAGACGCTTTGGGTATGGGCCTGCAGGTACCGTTTCATGTCCTCGGGGCTGAAGGAGAAGTGGGAGCCTCCCCCTGAGCCACTAGGGCCACCACCACCACTGGGGTACATAGGACTCAGAGTGGGCGAGGGCGTGTAGGCCAGGTGGGTGGGTGTCATGGGCAGGGCTGGTGAGAGTTGAGGGGGTAGCAGGGAGCCAGGCCCAGCCAGAGGTGACACAGGGAAAGGGCTAAGGGGCTCCGGTCCACCCCGGGGCCTGGGATAGACACGGAAGACACTGGGGTCATGGGGCAGGCGGGCCAATGGGGGCCCTCGGAAGGCACCCAGCTCTGGAGGGCCAGGTGGTCGTGCCCGAGGGTCCTCTCCCAGTGGCTCCTCCAACTCTGACGTGCCATCACTACAGTCACTGACTGAGCCACGACCCAGACGCCGGGCTACCACAGCAGAGAAGAGGGAGGAGGAAGATGAAGAGCAGGCTGGTGGCGAGCGGGGGTCCTCGGTGGGGGATAGCACCTCGGAGGGCGTCGAGGGAGGGAAGCGGAAGTGGCTTCCGCCGGACGGCACTGGAGGGGCACTCTGTGGCACTGCACCCCCTAAGAGGAGAAGGGAGACTTGGTGTCAAGGCCTTTGGCCTACTCTAGGACAGACCCCCTCATCCTCCAGGGGTCACTTGTCCCCATTACTCACCAGCCAACCCCACATCGATGAAAGGGTAATTAACCAGCACCAGTTTGTTGAAGTTGAACTTGTAAGTGAACCGTTTTCCCTTGGTCTTGTGCAGAATGCGTTTGTTGTAATAATAGCTGTGGATGTAGAAACAGTTGGAATAGTCACCCTGTACTCCAGGGGACTCAGACCTAGACTACATACCTTGACACTGTGCGGGCACTGCATACAGAGGGAACGAGAGAAATGTGGGCCACATGAGAAAAAAAAACAAATATTCTCTAGCTCTGATGTTAGTGCCATTCTCAAGAAAGGCTGTAGCTTACCCAGTCATACAGCTAGGATGTGATAGAGCCAGGAGTCAAACCCAAAGCCTGTTCCCTCAGGTCAAGGGCCTCCCAATTAGTGGGGCTGTCCACATGTGCCCTAGGGCCCATAGCAACACCCTCCTCACCGCAGGGCCCGGCTCAGCTTGTCATAGTTCATCTGGGGCTTGCACTTGCGGACGCCCCAGAGCCGGGCCACCTCATCGGGGTCCTTGATGACGAATTCCCCGTAGTCCCCCTGCCAGGCGATGACGCCCTGGTACTCCTCCTTCCGCAGCAGTTCCAGGATAAAGTGCCACAGCTGGATCTGCCTCGAGCCAGGGGATGACTCCGGCTTGTAGGCCCAATCCGGGAAGGCAAACCCTGGGGACAGGAGGTGGGGAGTGGCCTGGGGTCAGGATGCCAAGTCCAAGGCTATGGGTTGCATCCCAGGGTCCACCTCCTACCCCACCCTCATCATGAGGAAAGTCCTCTCCTCTCAGCCAAGTGAAGGCCTGAGTTAGAGGGAGACAGTGTATGTCTATGTGAGGGGGCTAGACAGGAACTAGGGGGAGGGGGAGGGGAAGCTGGAGCCTGCTCCAGCGACACCGGGAGAAACAGGAAACCCGTCGGCGGCGGGTCCCGGGGCCAGTGCCAGGGGGCCAGGCACCAAGCCAGGCTGGCGGGCAGGGCTGCCAGTGGGGGAGGGGTAGGAAAGGGCACACGTGGCCAGCCAGATTGGGGCACAGCCCCCAGCCTATCTTCACTTCCATTCAGAACCAGTAGCATTCCCTCAAGCTCCTCTAGGCCCATCCTTTGGAATATATACTATCTGCCCCCCAAGACCTAACAGTCTCTACTCCCATCCCAGAACTAGGGGATTTTTTTTTCCTTCTTAAAAGGACCAAGAGGGGTGGAGTAGCTGCTTGACGATGAGGTCAGCGCTTGCACACACAGAGGCTTCTGTCTTCCCTGGAGAGTGAAACTCAGACTGTCTGAGAACCCCCCCCAAGTCCTGGACCCTCTGAGTTGCATGGCCCTCCCCAGACCCAGGCATCCTGGTGAGCCCAGGCACAGACTGAGCAGGACAGCGAAGCAGTCACCCTCTTCCCACTTTTGCCTTCTCATCCTCAGCTTCTTCCCTGCCCACCTGCCTGGGCCACCCACCCCCAGCATTAACCTTGGGTAGAGGTTGGTAGTGGGCTGGCTGGTCCCTGGAGGGGGTGGGGAGCCTGGAGGGGGGGTTGCGGTTGTTGTCATTTCCCAAACCCCCGGGTAATCAGGGGCCATCAATAATTCAGCACTAGGCAGCCGGTAATGGAGGGGTGGGAGGAGGGAAAGGGGAGGAAGAAAGGGGGGGGAGGCAGGGCAGGGGCCCTAGTGTCTCTAGAGAGAAAAGGCCAAGGTAGATGGCTAAAGATGGATAGGGTCCCAAAGCCCAATCAGGCTGCAGAGGTCAATTTCCCTCTCTTGGCCTCAGCTCAAGCAGGTACCAACCAGGCTTCTGGGCAAGACTGAGCCTCCCCAGTGACTCCACCCCAATCTGGAATCCAACAGGGGATCCTTCCCCTAAGGAACACAGATCAGTAATTCTTGATCAGAGATGAGGCAGACAGAGAGCCCTGCTCTCACTAGAACTATTCTAAATCTGGAGCTCACTGTACCCCATATGGACCCAGAGCCCTGGCCCCTAGTCCCAGTGAAACAGGGAAAGCCAGTATGAATTCCCCACTTAGTCCCTGCCCCATTCAGAAATTCAGGCCTCAAAGCAGCCCCCAGGGCTCCAGGAATATGACCTCCAGCTGTTCAGGTCCAGAGTCCTGCACCAGCAGCCCTGCTCCTTTTGGTAGTGACAGACACTAACCACCCCTTCCAGGAACCTAGGCATCCATACATAGACCCATCTCACAGGAATTCAGGCTCTCACCCATTACCCTCCTCTTGCTTGAGAAAAAGAACATTCAGTGTCTCCCTTGGGGACAAGAGGTCTTTGGGAGTCCAAAGGTCTTTTGGAATCCAGCTAACCAAAGGCAAGCTGCATGTATACTGGAAGCCCCTCAAAAAAGCTCCTGGCACCTCTCAAGGAAACAAGCTCCATGCTACTCCCACTTCAGCCCCAATCTGGCTCCCAGACCCAGGAGGGGGGCTGAAGACCCTGAGACATCAGTCTGGGGGTGGAGGGGGGATACGACTTCCACCCTCCCCCCAAAATTAAAGCCACCCTTCCCAGCCCACCCGCCCCAGCCTCCATGTCCCTGTAACCAGGCAACGTGTGCAGCGACAGTCCTGGGAGCGGGGGAGCAGGAGGCTAAAAATAAACTTTGCAGAAGAGAGGGAGTGAGAGAGACTACATCCAACACAAAGGGAACTAGGAAAGGAGGTGGGGGGGCCCTGGAAAGGCCTCAAGCCACGTTCTGGCAGTTGTCCTGGGCCCCCTTGTTAACCTCCTTCCCTGAGCAACAACCCCCCCAGGGCCTGGACAGTGGGTGCCACTCTTGGTAAGGACCCTTACCCACACTCAGGCCCACCCCAATGACGGCTTCCCTCATCGGACACAGCATACACCAGGGCCTGTTCCCCGCTTTGTGGGGGGGAGTGGAAAGGGGGGTGACGTCAGGGTGTCTCAATGGGGCTCTGTTCCCCAGGCCTTAGAGCCAGGAGCCAGGCACGGGCAAGGGGAGCATGTGTGTGTGTGTTGTGTATGAACCCACGTGCTTGTATCAGGGAAACACCAGCCCTGCATTAAGAAAGCTTGGGGGTGCAGGACCTCTACAGCCGGGACCAGTGCTGCAGGTAGAAAGAGAGCAGCTGTATGGAGCAGGGATTCAGGAAATACAAACAGGGTGTAGCGGTGGCAGCAGACAGGAAGGGTTTGGGATGGCTGTGTCCCAGAAGGCACACCTGGATCCTACAGAGGTGTAGCAGGGATTCTCCCATAGTGCAAGCTTGGGTGGGGGCATAACCCCTGGGAACCCCCAACTTTACATAAGAGCTCTAACTTTTTAACAGGGAGTTTGGGTGTTGGAACGGAGGGGTGGTGGTAGAGGAAGAACATGCTGGCCTCCATGGGGACCCTATCACCTCCCCCACGGCATGCAGCCCTCGATGGCGCCAGAGCCGGGAAGAAAACAGGAAGTGGGAAACAGCCACGGCAGAGAAGAGGGGCCGGGATGGAGGATCGGATGGAGGGGCGTAGAGCTGCCAGCAGACAGAAAGACAGACGATCTGGAGGCCTTTCCGAGGCCCTCCACCCCACCCCCCTCAAGCCCCCAACCAGAGGACACACACTCACACACGAGAGTCTCCGACCCTAGACAGAGTAGGGGGAGCAGCCCAGCCGGTCGGTTCGGGCCAAGGCCGGTAGCTGGAAGGGAAGATGAGGTGGGGCACCTCTGACCCCTCCCCCGGGAAGGTTAGACTCCTGCTACCCCCAGGGCTGAGGGACCCTAGAGCTGCAAGGAGCCAGGAGTATGTGCGATGCACGTGACTGACCCTACAGCACTCAGCACCCTTGCCCACCCGAGTACCCCTTCAGGTCCCCAATCCCTACGCGCCGGAGTCCTGCTCCGAGCCCTTTAAGAGCCGCCCCCACCCGCCAAGTAGGGGCTGGGGTGGGGTGGGGTGGGCCGGTCGGGGCACACACCCGCACACAGGAGTCCCAGCCGCGGCCGCCGCCGGGGAAAGGAAACAAGTTTGAACAGCGGCGCCCGGCGCCCGGCCCCCTTCCCCCTCCCCTGTCCCGCCCCGGGCCGGATTCCGACAGGGTAGACGGGCAGGGGGCGGCTAGGACCCCTCCCCCCCGCGCGCTCTGGCGCAAAGTCCAGCCCGCGCGAGCTCGGGGACGGCTGGAGAGGGGAGGGGGGGAAAGTCCGAGTGGGAGGGGGGTTAATCCCGCTGCCCCCCGCCCGCCAATCGAGGGGGAGGGGAACCTTGGCCCCTTAAGGAGGAGCAAGTTGGCGGGGGGGGGGGGAAGCAGAGGGAAAAGACGGCCCACAGAAAGAGAAGGGCTGGATCCGGGAGGAACAAGGGGGGTAGTCTATGCGTGCCCCCCCCCGCCCTCCCCACGCTCCTCAACCCAAGGCCTCCGGCGGCGCGGGAGGAAGGTACCCAGGTCTCTCTGGAGCCACCTTAAAGCCGCGCGTTCTAAGGTCGGAAACAAAAAGTTCCTTTTTCGAACGTTCGGGCTGCGCTTTGGAACTTTGCGACTCGGTGCGGGCGGGGGAGCGAGGAGCCGGCGGAGACAGGCGGGGGAGGGGCGGCACAGCCCGGACCCCGAGTCCCGGGTTCCCCATTCACGCCCTCCTAGACAGTGTCCCATATACCCCTCTAAATCGGTGCGGGGCACCCGCTGCCGTGAAGGTCACGGTCCGGACCGCGCAGCGCGGAACCAGGGACAGCAGGCCCCCTGGACAGGCCCCCCCACCCCGCACACGTCCCGGCCCCCAGAGTGCAACGTGACAGAGCGGCAGGGAGGGACCCTACCACCCCCGTGATCCCGGTAGTTGGGGGAGCCCACCTTTCGGGACCCGGACAGGGAGAGATCAGGATCCGCAGCACCCACACCACTCCAACCAGAGCCATGAACCGGGGGTCCCAGATAGCACCCCCGCTCGCGCCGCGAGAAGCAACAGGTCTCGAGTGCTTGGGGGTCCCCCAGAACTAGGGATCACCCGGACTATCTCGGACCCCTTCGGCCCCCCCAAAGTTTCTCTACCCGGTTTCCCGGGGCAACAAGTCCCCCACACGTGCTGCCCCCGCCCCCACCTGTGTCCGCCGGGGTCTTCATGCTGGGGGGCCCGAGGCGAGGCGCCCCGACTTCGGGCCGCGGCTCCCGGCGCCCGCGCTGCCCAGTCCCGTCCCGCGCCCGATGGGCCGCCCTCTCCGCCTCACCCGGCCTCGCCTCTCAGAGCCTCTCCCCTCCCCGCCGCCGCCTCCCGGGTTAATATCGCACTCCGGGGCCGGGACGCCCACGCCCCCCGGCCGGCGACGTCACCGCCGCGTCGCCATGGAGACACTGCGCCCGCCCCCTCCCAGCGCACTCACACACGCTTGCCGGCTTGCAGCCACTGAGGACCCGCCGGCTCTGGGCTTAAAGGGGCCGCGTGGCGGGGGAGAGAGGAAGAAGGCCAAGAGGGGACCAGGTCTTGGAGGTCATGACCTTTCTCGGAGGCTGCAAGTCTACAGATAACTTAAAGTTCTCAGCATTTGCTATCTGCCCCTCCCCTCCTTTTCTGCCTACTGAAGGCTCCAGAGCTTCCTTTGGGAGATGGAGGTTGATGTGAGGAGGCAGATACCCTCTGAGTAAGGTCAGAAACTTTTGTGGGGAAGGGCACAGACCTTTTGGGGGTTAGGGAGAATCTCATCTGCAGTAAGGCATAGTCAGGACCTTAGAGGATGATCAAGACCACAACATTTCTCAGTCTGGCTTTACTCCCCCACCACTACCACCACCAAGAGCCTGAATGGGGGCAGCTGTCCAGGGGTGGGGTGGAATGGGTGGCAAGCATTTCCCAGTATCGGAAATGGGGAGGCGGTTGTAGTCTTCGCTCCTGTGGGGATGGGGTCTTGGCTTTCTGGATAGCCTTAGTACAGCTGGGGAGGAAGTGACCTGAGAGAATGCTCCGGGAGCCACCACCACCATCCCCAGGCTGCAGCTGTCCTGAAGAAGCAGCAGGCGCCGGACATACCCCCACCTCCACCACTGGGGCAGGGGGTTCCGGAGATGGGGCCAGGATGCGAGGGGGCGACCTAAATCTGAACAAATGTCCTCCCAGGATGGGACTGAGGGTCCCCAGAAGAGAGGAAGATCGGGCTTAAGACTTAAGGCTGGAGCATAGGGGAAGTGTTAAGTCTGTTCTCAGCTGCGGCTGAGAGGGATTGATGGAGCCTGAGGCTCCGGGAAACAGGAAATCGGAGTGCTGGTCAAATGGATGCAAGGAGCTGCCCAGCAGGCTAGAGGACAAATAGAAGCAAGATTCACAGACAGAGCTAAGACAGAGTCTCAAGAATGACTCGTGAGTTACCAAAAGAGAGTATGAGATGAGGAGAGATGGAAAGCCAGTACAGTAGATGGACTGAGAGGCACTGACAAGCCAGGGGAAGAGAAGGCCTGCAGGGATCTGGCTCTGGATGCGTCAAGCATTGCTGGGTGCCTCCTTAGACCAGCTCCTCAGAAAGTCTCAGGCCTCCTTGAGGAGACCAAGGCCTCAGGGGAACAACCACCCCCTTAGAGAATTATGTAACCTTGCCTACGGACAGTGCAGCTCCCCCACGGATATTGTAACCCTCTGGGAGCAGTGTGGTCCAGCAATAATCATCATCATTGTTAGAATAACAGCTCCTGAATCCGAGTGCTCACAATGTGCCAGGCGCTTGGCCAAGCATTGTCAGGGGCATCTTCTCACTTTATCCTCACAAAATCCCATGAGGGAAGTTACTATTGTTATCCCCATTTACAGATTAAGAAAATAAGACTCTGGGAGGGGAAATGAGTCTGTCAAAAATCCTATAACCAGGAAGTGTTGAAATTAAGATTTGCCTCCCGATCTGTCCAATTCTAAGCATCTAACCATTACTACCTTCACTGGAGTTCCTTCCCCACCATGCTCCTCCAAAAAAATTTAAAAAGATGACAGTACAGAGTTTCAAGTTTCAAGCTGACCTATTGGTCAGCTACCCTCCCACCAGCAAGACAGGGACTTGGATTACTATCCTAACACTGGTATCTCCTACCTGTCACAAGTGAGTTCACTTCTTTAAGCTTCAGTTTCTTTATGTGTAAAATAGGGATGCTAAGAGACCCTGCAGGACAGGGTTATTATGAGAAATGAGGGATGGGAAATAAGTATACAAATGTTGAGCTAAAGATATAGTTAAGTTGGGGCTGGGGATTTAGCTCAGCGGCATAAGTGCCTGCCTTGTAAGCAGGCAGTCGTGAGTTTGATCCCCGGTACCAATAAAAAGGAAAAAGACAAAAAAAAAAAAAAAAAAAAAGATATAGTTCAGTAGCAAAGTGTGCTTGACATGTGCAAGGCCTGGGTTCCAGCCCAGTCCCCCCCCACCAATAAATAAAAATTAAAAGGTAATAATTATCATAGTTAAAACACAAACTATTGGGGCTGGGGATTTAGCTCAGCTGCATAAGTTCCTGCCTTGCAAGCAGGCAGTCGTGAGTTCGATCCCTGGTACCAATAAAACACACACACACACATACACAAAATATAAACTATTAATATAGTGGGCTAGGGATGTAGTTCAGTGGCACAGCACTTGCCTGGCAAGTTTGAGCTCCTGGATTCGATTCCAGAGTACCAAAAAAATTAATACAAATAATTATCATAGTGAAAAAAAGAAACAAATTATTAACAGAGTGAACTATATACCTGATAGATAAAGTGAGCACCGCTTATCCTGCAGACTCCAACTGTAATAAACACTCAGCAAAACACTCCAGCAATAAACACACAGCACCAACAGTGAAATTGCCCACTAATGTCATAATCCCACCCTGACCAGTTGACTGACTCTGTGAAACAGCTACCATGGGTGGTGGGCATTCCTCATGGGAGGTCTGAACCACTGGTAGAAAATGGTTGTATTGGGGCTGGGGATTTAGCTCAGCGGCATAAGCACCTGCCTTGTAAGCAGGCAGTCGTGAGTTCGATCCCTGGTACCGATAAAAACGAAAAAGCCAAAAAAAAAAAGAAAAGAAAGTGGTTGTCTTGATGCAAACGTCCCCTAGGCCTTGTGTCCTTGGTGGTTTGTACAAATCTATCTACAGATCTCAGGGATCCATGTGGAGCCTCTTGGATAATTCAGTGACTTCATGGATCCTGCAACCCAGCTCCAGAGAGGGTAGTGACAGGAATCCCCACCATTACTGTGTGAGATACCAGAATAATGTGAACTTGTGGTGGAAATTTTTTTTTTTTTGTCTTTTTGAGATAGGCTTTCACTAAGCAGTTTGGGCTGGCCTTGAACTGATTTTTAACCCTGGCTGATCTCAAACACACAGTGATCCTCCTGCCTCAGCCTCCTAAGTGCTGGGACTACAGGTGTGTACCACCATGCCTGGCCTTGTGGTAGAAATTATTCATCATCAGTGACCACTCCTTGAAGAGAGGCCACACCTTCATTAAGCTCCAATGAAGAAGACACCCTTCTCCCTCATGTCACTGTGGAAAGCCCCCAGCTAACAGGTGAGAAGTATAGCCATACCCAAGTCAGGAAACACCCCCATGAACAGTGCAAACAACTCTGACCCAACAGTGAGGACATGCCACTCCCATGGCTCATGACCTTGTTCTAGTTTGCCCCTCTGACACAGATAACATTTATCCTGCTGTTTTCAGGCAGAGGTATAGACAGAACTTGTCCCCACAGAGGTCCCAAGGTACATAGACTTTGTTGCCTCACTCCTAAAAGGGAACAACTCACCATCAACCTATAAGCAATAAGGAATCATTAAGACCCTAAGAATAGAACTAGGTGTGGTGGGTATGTGCCGTAATCCCTGCACTTTGGGAGGCTGAAGCAGGAGGACTGCACTTGTGAGCCCAGCCTGGGCATTTAACACTATAGCTAAATTACCCTGGCTCAAAGTTAAACAAACAGATGTTTGTGGATATAGCTCAGAGTGAAGACCATGATTTCATTTCCCAGTATCAAAAGAAAAGGAGTAGGAGAAGAAAGAGGAAGAGGAGGAGGAAGAAGAAGAAGACAATGACAACTCTAACAGGCCAGCCTGGCAATTTAACAATACTCTGTCTCAAAATAAATTTTTTTTCAAAATAAAATTTAAACTGGGCATGGTAGGGCACACCTGTAATTCCAGTAGTCATGAAGCTGAGGCAGGAAGATCGCTGAGAGTAGTCAGCCTGGGTTACACAAGCGAGTTCAAGTCCAGCTTGAACTACAATAGCAAGACCCTGTCTCAAAATAAATAATTAATTAAATAAAAACTTAAAGGGGACTGGTGACATAGCTCAGTTGTAGAGCACTTGCCTACTGTCTATGACTCAGCCCAACTAGAGAATAGCCACCAGAAAGAGCGCGGCCATGCCTAAGCAGAAGATGCAACGCAGGTGTTATACCGCCTTTTCCTGTCTCCCTGACTGAGGTGTGTGAGGCCAAGGAGTCCTGGGCCCTCTGCTCCCTATCCACACCTGTTACACAAGCTCCATCAGTTCCAAGGCAAATTTTCTTTTTCTTTCCTCGTGTGTGTGTGTTACTAGGGGGTGAACTCCAGGCCTTCAAACTGAGTGACATCCCCAGCCTCCTTCTTCTTTCTTTCTTTTTTTTAATTTAAAAAAATTTTTTTCTTTCTCTTTTAAAGATTGGGTCTCACCAAGTTTGCTGAATTGTGCAGGCTGGGCCAGGTGTGGTG